TCTTGCCCTAAACCCAGCACACTGGTCTCTAACGTCTCAAGGCATGATTCGAGATCCTAAAGGCATGTCTCTTCGTTCATATCTAAACGCTCACCAAATTTCGAAACATTCCGGAACGGGCAAACGAACAGGGCGATCTACAAAATGAGTTAGACTATGAGACGACAACTCATATTCTTCCCTCTACATTCATACGAATCTGCCTTGAAGCTGGACATGGCGAACAAATTCAGTGCCGAATCTTCCTTGAATCTGACGGTAAAGTCCCTAGATTCGCTTCTCCTCTAATGGGTCGCGTTGCTTTGCTCAATAATCAGTTCGGATTGAGAAAAAGTTGAATGCTTTGAGGGTTTTACCTTAAGAGATTAGATCGTCAATTGTTCTGAAATGTGATTTAGATTAGCCTTTACTGATTTAGACTCTCCGTTAAAGACTAGTGCTTTAAAAAATTGTAACATAGAGTGAGAGAGAGAGAGCGATATAAAGGTACTTACTTTGTTGTTGATTGAAGCTCATTAATTGTTTGTATTGTCAGGTAGGGATTTCATTGCCCCTTGCAAATGCAAAGGGACATCAAAGTATGTTCATCGTGATTGCTTGGATCACTGGAGAGCTATAAAGGTACTTCTTTTTCTCTTAATAATGTCAAGCCGATAGGTTCAGAATTCGAAGAGAGGTGTTGTTTAGTCAGTAGTATCTGAGAGTCTTGTGGCCTCATTTGATTTTGCAGGAAGGTTTTGCGTTTGCACACTGCACAACTTGCAAGGCTCCTTATTATCTGAGAGTTCATGGTGCTGGTGATAGGAAATGGAGGACCTTGAAGTTTCGCTTCTTTGTTACTCGTGACATCTTATCCATCTTTATTAAAAAAGAATTTAATAAATATAGGGTTAGTTTTGTATATAATTGGGTAAAAGTATATTCAGACAAAAGTAAAATGGGCAAAGGTATAAGGTGACAAACCCATCCCCAAATTGGCCCGATCAGCCAATTTTCTCAAAAAAATAAGTGTTTGGAAACATGAATATGAAGTACTTAAAATTATGATGATTGGAAACAAGGATAGCCTACAAATCTAATGGATTTACTTAACTAAAAATTACTGCCGCCCAAAGTACCATTATCATTGTTTTTGGGTTTTCTATCATCTATACTATTAAAGTTGAAGTACAAAAAATTAAGTGTTTGGAAACATGAATAGGAAGTACTTAAAATTATGATGATTGGAAACAATGATAGCCTACAAATCTAATGAGTTTACTTATTAAACTAAAAATTACTGCGGTCCAAAGTACCATTATCATTGTTTTTGGGTTTTCTATCATTGATATTACTTTATTTCTGAAAATTATTTATACATATATGTACTCGTGTTTTAAATGTATTCGGAATAAATCAAGAATAATATATAATTTATATTGACTATTAGGAAAACCCGCCCTACGGGCGGGACATTAATATTTTTTATTTGAATAAACATTTGAAATGTAAATTATAACTTAGTTATAATATAACTTTCACTATTTATTTTATTATTTTGTTAAAATTACCAATTTTTCTTATGATAGTACTTGGTTCTAAAATCTTTAGAATCACAACCGACTGAATGCTATTCACCAACTGTGGATTTTTTCTTATTTTTCTATGTCTATTTATTGAATTCATTGGTATGTAGGAAAACACACATTTTCTCAAAACAAATTAATAATTCAATGATCCTGAGACTAATAAACCATAGATTGGATTGAATGCATAAGATCGATTATTTGATTATAACTTGTCTGCCAAGCAAATGTGTGTTAGTTTTTTATGTTTATCATAACTTATCTTGTTGTAGCGGAAAGCTGTCTAATACCGTAATTGTGAAACTGTTATTTTAATAATTTTACCAATTCATATATTTGTGGTTAATTTTTGTACATGTACCATTTAATAATGTATAAGTGAAAAGAAATAGAAAGACAAACTTAGTTTCTTACTTTCTCAATGTATAATCAAACAAAAATATGTTTTCAATGTTACATAAAATCAATAACAAAGGAATTACTACGTACAGCTTAAAATGTGGATTGTGCCAAATCCACCAGTTGAAAAACTCGTTACACAAAATACGAATGAACTCTAACGTGGTATGTGCTCTGCAACTACCACAGTGACAAACATACCATCTTAATACTTAAGCATTGGTTTCTATTATGCACGTCTGAATGCAAAGAGAAAATATATTACCTATAAAGAATAAGTAAAAGAAGAATCTTAATTGCAGACTGAGCAGATTTGCTAGGCATTTGACACTGTCACCCTTTTAGTTGCCTTCGTATAGCTCTTATCCAATCGTCAAGCCTCTTTTTATAACAATCCTCTTCGCACTCCATAATGATCATATCTTGCAAAGGTAGGAAAGCCTCTTAGTAAGATAATTGTAAGCAATAAGGAATAAATCTTACGTTGGAAGACCTTACTTGGTTAGTTTTGATAGGTAACAACGCAACATCAGAGTCTCCTTGCCAATCTAAGGACTTCCACCTCCTAACGGAGTTTCTGGAGCCAGATTCCATATAGGCAGAGAAGCTGGTAATTTTTTGTGTAGGTTGAACAATGGCTAGCCAGAAGCTTTCCGAGGTATTCCATTATCAGAAACGGCAATGTTCCAAGCACCGATATCATCAGTAGCACTCGCCGTTCTTCTATATGTCCATGAAGCGGAATTACTTTTACACCATTTTTCTGTAAAGTTGTTTCCTTTCAGAGTTAGATGGTCCAGTCAAGAAAAGGGCAAGCTCGCTATGATCATCTTCGTCCAAACGAACCCATCTCGGAGTTCCTTTGCCAGTTTCTCTTCAACGTCAAATGTTTCCGTTTAAAATCCAAATTTTTAACCTGTTGAAAAAAAAAAAACAGAACCAATTTAGTTGCTTTTATTAAATAACATCCATGTACAGATCAACACTAACACTTAACAAACAAATATAAGCATGTAGGCATCACATTTATTACCAAAGTAGGAAAGGAGAGGGAAACTCAGTTTGGTAATGGATAAGAACAATGAGAGCTCTAAAGAGTTCTTCTTCAGAGTATACCGAAAGACTATCAAAAAAAATATTAAGGAACACTAACTCTAGATTCCAACTTACAACTTAAATCACTAATCCAGGAATAAAAATTAGCCAAAATCATATTTCAAAAGATAAAGAAAAATCTCTTTGTATGATCATCCGGAGCCATAAACGCTCTGTGAGGAAAAGCACACAGATCCAACATCAGTGAGGAAAAACACAGAGATCCGGTTGTGACATTTTCTAAGACTCGGTTGATGAAGGCGGGAACGCATGGGTTATGTTGGGTGGTTGAGATTCAACTTGGTAATTGGATATTGGGAGGATGTGAGACGCTGTGGAAGCCATTGTTGCAGAGTTTGCAGGTTTGAGAAAAAAAATTATAGAAGATGAAGACGTTTACATCTTGTATAACAGGATAATGAATGCTTTGATGAAAAATGGACATATAAAGCCCATAGAAAATTTTAGTCACAGAATTTTTAGTGATGTTCAAGAGATGAAAACTGATCTCTTTTTAGGAGTAGACACAACGCCTCTTAGAATTTTGTTAAAGGTGATGAAACAATACCTCATACGTTTCAGAAGTTAAGAAACGAAGATAAGATGCCGCAATCGAAACTTGACTCAGAGATTGTTTGACGATTCGTCTCACTCAACATCATGAAACGCCATTGTTGGTGTATTTAGATCATCAGTGATCGAAGAAGAAGAACACTAATTTTCGATTTTGTCTTTCACGAAGAAAAAAGTCTCTGGGTTCGATTTTGACAAATTGTAATAACGAAGGATGAACCCGTTAAGTGTTAGAAGCTCACTTAAAAAGTAAACAAACGAAACTTAATTCTGAAAAAGAGGAAAGACATGTGTCATCTTGTGATGAAACTATTTGATGACATGGCTTGATAAGGAGAGAGTAAACTTTACTTTATATAATAAGATTGTTACTAGGTGATTTTCCCGTGCGCATGCACGGGTATGTATATTTATAAAATAAATATACAATAATAATTGATTGATATTTACTTTAATTAAATTAATTTATAGTTTGTATGTTCTAATTTATATTATAATATAATATTACTTTAATTATATATATAATTTTAGATATGTTATATTTAGTATGTTTTATTGTTCTTATGGTCGATTTAATTATCATTTAGATATATTGGATTCTATCTATTTCTCTGAATTCAACTATAATCTTTTATATTTTAAATATATTAAATTTTTGATTAATTGTCTTATTTGCATTTATGTTGGTTGTTATCTTAGAAATATAAGTATATTTAGTAAGATTATATATAACTTAAGATTTTTTTTGTGCTTAGAAGGAAAAAAAAAAAAAAAAACTAAAGAGTCTGATTCTAAAACACATACATAAGTAACTAATGAATTTTTAGAAACTTTTGAACACATATCAATATTTACAATAATTAAAATATTTTATAAATTCTAAATAAATTTATGCTTTAGATTGATTGGATGGTAAAGTTAAATTTCTTTTAAATAATTTTAAAAATAAGGATTCTGATTTGCTTAAGTATTTTGACTATGGTTGTATTAAGTTTCACAAACATAAAAACAGAAAATTAAAAATCAAAAGATTTATTAAGAAAACAAATAATTTTAACTATTAAAATATAGTATATCTACCTCGTTAAATTATATATTGGTATTTTAAAATAATTGTAGTTATTTTCTGTGTTTATGTTTGTGAAACTTAATATAACCATAATCAAAATATTTAAGTAAATCAGAATCCTTATTCATAAAACAGATAATTTTAACTATTAAAATATAATATATCTACCTCGTTAAATTATATAGTGTTATGATATTTTAAAATAATTGTAGTTACTTGATCAAAAGAAGTTTATTATTAAATTTATTTATAGTTTTATTTTTAGTATCTCTTAAAATAGTCAGTAAAAAGTGATTGTTTTTGAGAAATTATACTATATAAGTAAAATATAATTTATATTTGTAATTGTAAGATATTATAGTCAAATAAATATACTAAAAAATAATTTCAATAATACTAAATTATAAAAATATCAATTAAACATATATCAGTTTATGTTAGTTGATTATTTAATGTAATAATCTAATAAAATATATAGATATATGCAAAAATAATTATTTTGAAAATATATATATATATATATATATATATTTTATTGTTTAAAATTATTTTTTTAAGAAAGAATATTTCTTTTTCTAATAGCAATATTTTTTGTGTGAATATTTTTTATGAAATCACATTACATACAGATATTGTTTTTTTTATCTAAGAAGATATAGATATAAAGTAATTTATTACTCCAAATGTATATTTTATGTTATTTAAAATATATTTAAATTAAATATTACTATTTTGTGAACTTTCCTTTTTTATTAAAACATATTATATATACTTATATTTTCGTTTTTAAATAGTTTTGTAAATTTTATAAATGTTTCCTTTTTATTTTATATTGTTATTTGGAAATTTTTAAAAAGGAAATAATATTTAATTGTATTTTTAATTCATTAGGGGTATCATAGTAATCAACTAGCGTAAGAGTTAACGTGAGCGCGACACCTAAGAAAGTTACTTCTCAAATAATATTATAGAGATAAGCTTTTAAGAGTAATATACTAGCCTTCCAATTCTTCATTAAAAAGTAAACTTAGAAATTTGACTTAATTGTTTAGTGTATATAACTTTGCACCAAATTTAGTCAATTTTTTTTTTATAAAAAATTACTAAAATATTTACGGGTCACAACATTTTACCGACGTCATGTTACATAATACAGTGATGAAATACAATATTTAAATAGTATACTATTACTTAGTAAAACTGAAACCGTAAGATTGTAATTTTTAAAATATTTATATCTCTATAATATTAT